CTGTACATTCATGGGTGGGTGTACACTCTCCTGTGCTGTACATTCATGGGTGGGAGTACACTCCCCTTGCTGCACATTCCTGGGTGGGTGTACACTTGTACTGTATATTCCAGGGCGTGAGGGTGTACACTCTACTGCTATACTGTACATTCCCGGGTGGTAGGGCGTGCACTACCACAGCTGTACACTTCTGGGTGGGAGGATTACACTCCCCTGCTGCACTGTACGTTCCTGCTGTACAGTGCTGGTGGGACGGTGTACATTTCCCATGCTATACAAAGCTGGTGCAAGGATGTACATCCCCCTGTTGTACAGTACTGGATGGCTTGTTCACCCCAGCTGCACAGTGCTGGTGAGATGTACACCTCCCCCTGCTGTACAGCTCTTGTAGAAGGGTGTACATTCCCACTGTTGCACGGTGCTGGTGGGACGTTGTACACTTCCCCTCTTCTGTACAGTTGTAGTGGGAGAGTTTACACTCCTCACTGCACAGTGCTGATGGTGTGGTGTACATTCTTCTCTGCTGTACAGTACTGGCTCGATGCATGTTCAAAAAACTACCTTAAACTTAATAGAAACATATTTAGAACAGTCCCTTCACCCACTACCGTACAGCATGTACACACACACACACACACACACACACACACACACACACACACACACACCACACACACACACACAGAGGAGTTGCACTGCTCATTAAAAACCAGTGGGGTTTTGAGAAATGGAAGAAATGGATGGCACGGGCGAAAGGGACTACTTAGTAGGAACACTCCAGTCTGAGGGACATAAGGTGATAATTGCAGTAATGTACAACCCACCACAGAACTGCAGGAGGCCAAGAGAAGAATACGATGAGAGCAACAGAGCAATGGTCGACACACTAGCCGAGGTGGCCAGAAGAGCACACATGGGGGGAGCAAAGTTACTAGTTATGGGTGATTTCAATCACAAAAAGATTGACTGGGAAAACCTGGAGCCCCATGGGGGTCCCGAAACATGGAGAGCCAAGATGATGGATGTGGTACTGGAAAACCTCATGCATCAACATGTTAGAGACACTACCAGAGAGAGAGGTGAGGATGATCCAGCAAGACTGGACCTTGTATTCACCTTGAGTAACTCGGACATCGAGGATATCATGTATGAAAGGCCCCTAGGAGCTAGTGATCATGTGGTTCTGTGCTTTCACTACATAGCTGAGCTTCAAGTGGAGAGAGTAGCAGGAATAGGATGGGTAAAACCAAACTACAAAAGGAGGAGCTACTCAGGCATGAGGAACTTCCTGCAAGACATTCAGTGGGAGAGGGAACTGACAGGAAAACCAGTACAAGAAATGATGGACTATGTGGCAACAAAATGCAAGGAGGCAGAGGAGAGGTTTGTTCCCAAGGGAAACAAAAATAATGGGAAGAACAGAACGAGTCCTTGGTTCACCCAAAGGTGTAGGGAGGGAAAAACTAGGAGTACTAGAGAATGGAAAAGGTACAGAAGACAGAGAACTCAGGAAAATAAAGAGATTAGCCGAAGAGCCAGAAACGAATATGCACAGACAAGAAGGGAGGCTCAGCGACAATATGAAAATGACATAGCATCGAAAGTCAAGTCTGACCCGAAGCTGTTGTATAGCCACATCAGGAGGAAAACAGTCAAAGACCAGGTAATCAGACTGAGGAAGGGTGATGGGGAGTTCACAAGAAACGACCGAGAGGTATGTGAGGAGCTCAACACGAGATTTAAAGAAGTATTTACAGTGGAAACCAGTAGGACTCCAGGAAATCAGAACAGGGGGGTACACCAACAAGTGCTGGATGAGGTACACATAACCAAGGAGGAGGTGAAGAAGCTGCTATGTGAACTTGACAACTCAAAGGCGGTGGGACCAGACAACATCTCTCCGTGGGTCCTTAGAGAGGGAGCAGAGATGCTGTGTGTGCCATTAACAAAGATCTTCAACACATCCATTGAAACTGGGCAACTCCATGAGGTATGGAAGATAGCAAATGTAGTCCCAATTTTTAAAAAGGGAGACAGACATGAGACACTAAACTACAGACCTGTATCACTAACGTGTATAGTATGCAAAGTCATGGAGATCATCAGGAGGAGAGTGGTGGAGCACCTGGAAAGAAACAAGTGTATAATTGACAACCAGCGCGGTTTCAGGGAAGGAAATCCTGTGTCACAAACCTACTGGAGTTTTATGACAAGGTTACAGAAGTAAGACAAGAGAGAGAGGGGTGGATCGACTGCATTTTTTTGGACTGCAAGAAGGCCTTCGACACAGTTCCTCACAAGAGGTTACTGCAAAAGCTAGAGGATCAGGCACACATAACAGGAAAGGCACTGCAATGGATCAGAGAATACCTCACAGGGAGGCAACAACGAGTCATGGTACGTGACGAGGTGACGAGGACCTGTGCTGTTTCTGGTATATGTGAATGACATAACGGAAGGGACAGACTCAGAAGTGTCCTTGTTTGCAGATGATGTGAAGTTAATGAGAAGAATCAAATCGGACGAGGATCAGGCAGGACTACAAAGAGACCTGGTCAGGCTACAAGCCAGGTCCAGCAACTGGCTCCTTGAGTTTAACACTGCCAAATGCAAAGTCATGAAGATGGGGAAGGGCAAAGAAGACCACAGACACAATATAGTCTAGATGGACAAAGACTGCAAACCTCACTCAAGGAAAAAGATCTGGGGGTGAGTATAACACCGAGCATATCTCCTGAGGCGCACATCAATCAGATAACTGCTGCAGCATACGGGCGTTTGGCAAACCTACGGATAGCGTTCCGATACCTCAGTAAGGAATCGTTCAAGACTCTGTATACCATTTACGTCAGGCCCATACTAGAGTATGCAGCACCAGTTTGGAATCCACACCTGGTCAAGCACGTCAAGAAAATAGAGAAAGTGCAAAGGTTTGCAACAACACTAGTCCCAGAGCTAAGGGGATTGTCCTACGAAGAAAGGTTGAGGGAAATCGGCCTGACGACACTGGAGGACAGGAGGGGCCGGGGAGACATGATAACGACATATAAAATACTGCGCGAAATAGACAAGGTGGACAAAGACGGGATGTTCCAGAGATGGGACACAGAAACAAGAGGTCACAATTGGAAGTTGAAGACTCAGATGAATCAAAGGGATGTTAGGAAGTATTTTTTCAGTCATAGAGTAGTCAGGCCGTGGAATAGCCTAGAAAGTGAAGTAGTGGAGGCGGGAACCATACATAGTTTCAAGGCGAGGTATGATAAAGTTCATGGAGCAGGGAGAGAGAGGACCTAGTAGCAATCAGTGAAGAGGCGGGGCCAGGAGCTATGACTCGACCCCTGCAACCACAAATAGGTGAGTGCAAATAGGTGAGTACAACACTCCACACACACTACACACAAACACAACACTAACACTAACACAACACACACACACACACACACACACACACACACACACACACACACACACACACACACACACACACACACACACACACACCTGGCGGGGCTAGGAGCTGAGTCTCGACCCCTGCAACTACAATTAGGTGAGTACACACAGGAGCAGTGAATCGACCCCCGCAACCACAACTAAGTGAGTACACACAGTTGTAACACACAAGGTATGGTGGGGGGGTAAGACTGTACAACATGTGGAGAGAGAGGAGGGGGGGGGAGAGTGAGGGAGGGAGACTTACAAGACGTAATGGGGAGTTAAGTCAGGTACATTCTCAACACCCATAGGAGTGGTGACAAAGAAGTCATTGCTATGCATTGACTTTAAATTTAGCATAGTAAGAGTCATCATGTACACACAGTCATCATGTACACACAGTTATCATGTACACACAGAGAAGACTCACGTTGCATGGCGTGGTAGGATTGAGGTCCGACATGTTGTACACGAAGGCTATGTTGTCCCCGTCCTTCATATTAACCAGGTAGCCGTACATGTCGTACTTGAGTGAATGACTGTCAGGAACCACAAACAGCCACTGGTTTTTGGACCCCATGAGTTTCATACTGCGTCCCTGCACCCCAGAAACACAAGAACATAACAGTGAACTATTTCAGCAGGCCTACTGGCCTATGCTCAGCAGATGAATAAAATACACATGCCACACTTGGGTATGATACATTTGTGCAACATTCTGTTATCTTTACGTTTCGCCAACCAGTAGCATTATCAAAACACAGAGGAAAAATGGCAGATGTGAAGATGGAGTTTGAGGTCACCAGTCCCTCATCCCAGTGATGTGCAAGACAGGTATACAATACCGACAGGATGAAAGTTAAGACACTTGTACAACATCTGGTTATCTTTCTTGTAGACGTTTCGCCATCCAGTGGCTTTATCAATACAGATTCTTGGACATAATTAGAAAACAGAATGACGTGATGACGTGTTTGTTCCGTAAGCTAGATAAAAGACCATCATATTCACAGACCTACATGTTGGTAGCACTGAAGGTTCCACTGTCATGGCGTCACCATCACAACCAGCAACAGTTACTCTAATCATACTTTAATAATCTTTTTAATTTTTATTTTCACTATTATTTTGTACTGAATTACAATGTTACTAATATTAATTAAAAAAAAATCCTTCTCATACAGTTGATTATTATTATAATAATCATAGGAGAACGCTAAACCCGTAGGGATTATACAGCGCCTGTAGGGGTGGGGGGGAGGATGGAAGGTATTCAGGCTTAATTCAGGGAACTGGAGCACAGATCCAATTCCCTAAATCAAGAGCCCCTCACCAGCGTCAAGGAACCTCCCTTGAGGGGCTCATACACTTAGAACCAAAATTTTTAAGCTATGTGGACTAAAGTCGCTTCTAGGGCCCCTCCGGGATTAGGGGCCCTCAAGCTTAAGAGACACGTAAGTTCCCCTTGTCTTCTAATAACACGGTTCATTTTTCCACTGTAATCTGTTTTAAGAGACACGTAAGTTCCCCTTGTCTTCTAATAACACGGTTCATTTTTCCACTGTAATCTACCTTGTCCATAATTCCTATCCTGTTACCGAGGACTGGAGTTCCGAAGTATCTTGCCTAACATGGGTCATTAGATGTGTTCCAGTGCTCTTCCAGTCTTGCCTTATTGTTTATATTTTCACACATTCTCGAGGAAGAGGTAAACCCGTGAAGGAAAAACAAAAGTTGCAATACACGCTGTTGTTAGGACAACGATTCGCTATGTGTAAAACCTTCTCCAGTAATTGTGAGATTTGAGAGGTTATGGTGAGGTATGAGAGGTGATGGTGAGGCTTGAGAGGTTATGGTGAGTTCTGAGAGATGATGGAGAGGTTATTGTGAGTTTTAAGAGGTGGGTGGTGAGATACGAGATCTGAGAGGTTATGGTGAGATTTGAGTGGCAGTGGTGAGATCTGAGAGGTGACAGTTAAAGTTTGAGAGGTCATGGTGGGGTCTGAGGGGTCATGGTGAAGTCTGAGAGGTCATGGTGAGGTCTGACAGGTCATGAGGTTCGAGAAATCAGGGAAGGAATATAGTTATACCTACCAGGTCTTGAATTGTGTTGACCTCGTCCTTGGAGACGATGACCAGGAACTGTTTGGTCTTGGGACTCCCTGGTCTGGGACCCAGCGCAGAGAACAGCTTCCCAAGTCTGAGAAACAACCACCATCACACACTAGTCTTAAATATTTATTATTATTATTATTATTATTATTATTATTATTATTATTATTATGGCTATAATATTTATTCGAGGAAGGAGAGGATAACTCAAATTCCTTGGATTAAGAGCCCTCCACTAGCTTCACTCTGAAGACAATATTATCAGGGGACACTAAAATTATGGTCATAAGAATTTCAAGATTTACGAAGTCACAAGAAAATTGCTACTCTCACAAAGTCACAACAAACTACTCTCACAAGGTCACAACAGAACAAACTAGCTGTACACAAGACTAGCTGAAGCAACACTAGCAATTATCTAGCTTTCAATGTTTGCCTCTTTATTACAATATGCAGAGACGGAGAAATCGATGTAAGACCAACAAACTGTGCTAATTTTATGTGTACTCAAATAATTGTACTTACCTCTTTTGTATTCACCTATTTATATAAAGGTTGAGCAGGTCAAAACTAAGATCCTGGCCCTGCCTCGTGTACTGGATGTTACGGGGGTCTCTCCGGGCTTCTTAAGTTAACCTTATCATACATACTCTTAAAGCTATGCAAGTATCCTGCCCTCCTCTGTCACTTCATTCTCCAGGTCACTCCACTTCCCTTCCACACTGAGGTTAAAAAAATACTTCATCCGTGTGACGCATATATGTTTTTAACTTCCAACTGTATCCTTGTGTACTTGTTTCGTGCCTCTCGAACAACATATCTATTTCTCTCCCCTATCTACTCTGGGTATTTTGTACGTCGTTATCATGGTTCCCATGGCACTTCTTCATCTACTGTCGTCATGCTCAACTCATTTAGTCTCTTCTCATAACTCAAACCCCTTGACTCTGGACTAGTCTTGTTGAAAATCTCCACTTTTTCCAGTTTTAAATTTTTGATGTTTGTACAAATGGAAGTCGTAAGAAAGAAGCGCTAAACAAAATAGGGTCATACAGAGCTGTATAAACACAATAAACAAGCACACACAATCTGAATCATTCACAGTTCCATAATACTAAGAAGGAAATTTATATTAATCCTTTAGAAGCAATCAAAGGATCAATAACATGTCTTCCATATCAGGAATAATAGTAGCAATAGCAATAAAATCTTATTAAATTCATTTATAAGCAATAAAGCCGTCCCAACAATCAATAAAACTCTAATAATTTACTAAAATTTACCATCAGGCGAGATTTATACAAGCTAACGTCCTATCCACCATGACTAGGATTCATTATTTACAAATTTTAATTATTAATAATTTTGCAAATTATTTTCAAGTTTATTTATAGGTTTTATGATATTTAATATTGCTATTACATTTTAATCATAACAATTAGGTCCAATTTATTATATGATTACGGAAATAAATGATGGAATGTTCATGTCTTGTTTACGATGTTAAAATGCGCCCATAGATGCACATTTGGAGAGAGAGAAAGAGAGAGAGAGAGAATGAGAATCTTGACTAAGGTCCTCGTCAGAAACAATTGTCCTGTTTCCTGACGAATCTAACCTAACCTACCACAGGGTATAATCAAGTAATTTTAATGAATTATCTTAATTTTTAAATAGGTGAACCGGTAAGTATCGCTCAGGTGACCAGTGTGGGTCATCGTATAACTTTAGACCCACTCGATGGCTAGCACACTCTGCTCACACACTGTGGTCCGGGGGTCGACCCCCGGTACGGCTGGAAACATTAGGACATGTTTCCATAAAACACCTCCTGTCCAATGTTCACCCATTATTAAAATAGGTACCTGGGTGTTAGTCGACTGGTGTGGATCGCATCCTGGGACAAAACTGACCTAATTCGCCCGAAATGCTCTGCATAACAAGCGGCTTTCTATATAGTAGTATGTCACTGATGTCAGCTCGACCTGTATACCTTGTGCTTGTAGAAATAAAGATTATTATTATTATTTGTCCTGACCTCATAATGAAATCATACACACATGAAAGCCCTTCCTTGTTTTTCAAAAATTACAGACATATTGTGATGACAAACAAAACGCAGTATACCCACCCGACCTGAAGAGTACAGAAATATTCCTCTTCCAAAATTAAAGTCCTGACAAACAAATTCCTTCATCAACATGTCTGTACCTACCTTCAAATCCCTAAAATCCACTCTCCTCCACTCACACTCCTCTTTGGAGGTTCCTTGATGCTGGTGAGGGGCTCTTATTTAGGGAATTGAATCTGCGCTCCAAATCCCTGAATCAAGCCTGAATGCCTTCCATCCCCCCCCCTTCCCCGCAGGCGCTGCATAATCTCCCACAATAATAATCTACGCATTTTCATCTAACACGCTGGCAGATGACTAATAGATTATCTAGATAAACCCCTACAGCTCTCAAATGTTCCCTCTCACCTTCGGTTAGGTTAGGCTAGGTAAGATTTGTCAGGAAACTGGACAAGTGTTTCTTTACGCGGGTCTTTGTCATATGATGACCCGCCACCGAAGTTTTTGACTGACAGAAGCTTTCTACTGGTTTACCGGTCCACCAATTTAAATATTATGGTAATTATTATAACCATTTCATAATCTCTCATCTTTCTTCTTATCCTTCCTCAAAAATCCCCTATACCTCCTTCCATCCACCTCATCTGATACATGCTATATAGATCATTCCCGGTATTGGTTTGTGTGTGATAACGTGAAAAAGCCTCTGCTGATCGGCTTCAAAACTTTAACATTGGCGCATCCTGCGTAGAAGTTAGGATTGTTACTTGAGTATGTAGGAACCAGTCTGCCAATTTCAGTTTTAAAACGATGTGTTATTTTTACACTGAGAAACGTGAGTACGCCTCGTAAATAGCTGAAGTATCCTATGGATGGAGTGGTATCCAGCACGTTTAGGCTATGCAGATTCAAATTTGTCGATTTATTAACATAGTTAATAAACTTGGAATCTTTGAATGTCCTGTAACTAGGTTGATAGCGCACTCAGCTCACACACTGAGGTTCATGATTCGATCCCCAGTACGGGTGGAAACAACAGGTTATGTTTCCTTTAGACACCTGTCCCTGGTCACCTAGCATCCAAATAGGCACCTGGGTGTTAGCCGACTGGTGTGGGTCGCATCCTGGGGACAAAATTAATCTAATTTACCCGAAATGCTCTGCATAACAAGGGACTTTCAATGAAGTATATCACTGATGACAGCTAGGCCTGTATACCTCGTACATGTACTTGTAGAACTAATGATAATAGTAATAAAAATAATAATAATATTATTATTATTATTATTTGGCCCACCATGAGGGCCAAAACGACATGGGTTCGAGTCCTTGGCAAGTCGCAGTGTTGTTATTGATTAAATACCACTCGTCCGTGGTTACCATAATATATATACTGCTCACATTGAGGAGGGGCAAAACGACATGAGTTCGAGTCCTCGGCTAGTCACATCTGAAAAGGTGCTTGCCAACATGCTCAGGGCTGCAACATCAGATAGGGAGATTGCCAGTCTCCAGGCCGTGAGCGCAACTCACTCCGGGGACTTCCTCCAAACAGTTCCAATATCGGCAATGGGAACGTGACTCGACCCTAAGACCCTCCGTATTGCAGTGGCTCTGCGCCTTGCTGCCCCAATTCACACAGAATATACGGGTATTTGCGGCGAAGAGCAAGCAGACCAATACGGTCTACATGGTCTTAACTGTTCCAAAACCAAGGGCTGGCATGCAAGACACAATGAGGTCAACGACATCATTAAGAGAACCCTTGCTACAGCTGGATGCCCAGCCGAGAGGGAGCCCCGATCACTAGCAGCCAAAAATACCCACAACCCAGAAAAACCACCCTGACGGGATCACCATCTATCCTTGGAAGAATGGCAAGCTCTTAGCATGGGACTATACCTGTGTGTCCACACTGGCTGACACCTATATCCATCACAGTGTGGGGCGACAGGGAGGAGCTGCTGACCACAGGGAGGAGTACAAGATCAGCAAGTACAGTGACATAAGCCAACAGTATTAATTTGTCCCAGTGGGATCAGAGACCTTGGGATCATGGGGAAAAAATGCCACACGTTTCCTTAAAGAATTGGGTTCCAGACTCATCAACACCACCAGCGCCTCAGCGTAGCCATCCAGAGGGGAAATGCTTGCTGCATACTTGGCTCGCGTCCAGCCTCGGAGGAGCTGGAGGAAATTCATGATCCTTGATACATTGTGCCATTGTATTCATGTTTATGTTTTTCTGTAAATGTATTCTGTTTATTAATAAATGTTCACATAGAATATCAAATATAGGGGGTGGTAGGAGAAGAATAATATATAATATATATATATATATATATATATATATATATATATATATATATATATATATATATATATATATATATATATAAAGCTAAAGAAGGAGTAGCAATAATGTTGAAGAATAAGCTATGGCAGGAAAAGAGGGACTACAAATGTATAAATTCAAGGATTATGTGGAGTAAAATAAAGATTGGATGTGAAAAGTGGGTTATAGTAATCGTGTATGCACCTGGAGAAGAGAAGTGTAGAGGAGAGAGAGATTCTGGGAAATGTTGAGTGAATGCGTGGGGAGTTTTGAATCAAGTGTGAGAGTAATGGTGGTTGGAGATTTCAATGCTAAAGTGGGTAAAAATGTTATGGAGGGAGTAGTAGGTAAATTTGGGGTGCCAGGGGTAAATGTAAATGGGGAGCCTTTAATTGAGCTATTTGTAGAAAGAAATTTGGTAATAAGTAATACATATTTTATGAAAAAGAGGATAAATAAATATACAAGGTATGATGTAGCACGTAATGAAAGTAGTTTGTTAGATTATGTATTGGTGGATAAAAGGTTGATGGGTAGGCTCCAGGATGTACATGTTTATAGAGGGGCAACTGATATATCGGATCATTATTTAGTTGTAGCTACAGTTAGAGTAAGAGGTACATGGGAAAAGAGGAAGGTGGCAACAAGTAAGAGGGAGGTGAAAGTGTATAAACTAAGGGAGGAGGAAGTTCGGGCGAGATATAAGCGACTATTGGCAGAAAGGTGGGCTAGTGCAAAGATGAGTAGTGGGGGGGTTGAGGAGGGTTGGAATAGTTTTAAAAATGCAGTATTAGAATGTGGGGCAGAAGTTTGTGGTTATAGGAGGGTGGGGGCAGGAGGAAAGAGGAGTGATTGGTGGAATGATGAAGTAAAGGGTGTGATAAAAGAGAAAAAGGTAGGTTATGAGAGGGTTTTACAAAGCAGAAGTGTTATAAGAAGAGCAGAGTATATGGAGAGTAAAAGAAAGGTGAAGAGAGTGGTGAGAGAGTGCAAAAGGAGAGCAGATGATAGAGTAGGAGAGGCACTGTCAAGAAATTTTAATGAAAATAAGAAAAAATTTTGGAGTGAGTTAAACAAGTTAAGAAAGCCTAGGGAAAGTATGGATTTGTCAGTTAAAAACAGAGTAGGGGAGTTAGTAGATGGGGAGAGGGAGGTATTAGGTAGATGGCGAGAATGTTTTGAGGAACTTTTAAATGTTGAGGAAAAAAGGGAGGCGGTAATTTCATGCACTGGCCAGGGAGGTATACCATCTTTTAGGAGTGAAGAAGAGCAGAATGTAAGTGTGGTGGAGGTACGTGAGGCATTACGTAGAATGAAAGGGGGTAAAGCAGCTGGAACTGATGGGATCATGACAGAAATGTTAAAAGCAGGGGGGATATAGTGTTGGAGTGGTTGGTACTTTTATTTAATAAATGTATGAAAGAGGGGAAGGTACCTAGGGATTGGCGGAGAGCATGTATAGTCCCTTTATATAAAGGGAAAGGGGACAAAAGAGAATGTAAAAATTATAGAGGAATAAGTTTACTGAGTATACCAGGAAAAGTATACGGTAGGGTTATAATTGAAAGAATTAGAGGTAAGACAGAATGTAGGATTGCGGATGAGCAGGGAGGCTTCAGAGTGGGTAGGGGATGTGTAGATCAAGTGTTTACATTGAAGCATATATGTGAACAGTATTTAGATAGAGGTAGGGAAGTTTTTATTGCATTTATGGATTTAGAAAAGGCATATGAAAGAGTGGATAGAGGAGTAATGTGGCAGATGTTGCAAGTATATGGAATAGGTGGTAAGTTACTAAATGCTGTAAAGAGCTTTTATGAGGATAGTGAGGCTCAGGTTAGGGTGTGTAGAAGAGAGGAAGAATACTTCCCGGTAAAAGTAGGTCTTAGACAGGGATGTGTAATGTCACCATGGTTGTTTAATATATTTATAGATGGGATTGTAAAAGAAGTAAATGCTAGGGTGTTCGGGAGAGGGGTGGGATTAAATTATGAGGAATCAAATTCAAAATGGGAATTGACACAGTTACTTTTTGCTGATGATACTGTGCTTATGGGAGATTCTAAAGAAAAATTACAAAGGCTAGTGGATGAGTTTGAGAATGTGTGTAAAGGTAGAAAGTTGAAAGTGAACATAGAAAAGAGTAAGGTGATGAGGGTATCAAATGATTTAGATAAAGAAAAATTGGATATCAAATTGGGGAGGAGGAGTATGGAAGAAGTGAATGTTTTCAGATACTTGGGAGTTGACGTGTCGGCGGATGGATTTATGAAGGATGAGGTTAATCATAGAATTGATGAGGGAAAAAAGGTGAGTGGTGCGTTGAGGTATATGTGGAGTCAAAAAAAGTTATCTATGGAGGCAAAGAAGGGAATGTATGAAAGTATAGTAGTACCAACACTCTTATATGGATGTGAAGCTTGGGTGGTAAATGCAGCAGCGAGGAGACGGTTGGAGGCAGTGGAGATGTCCTGTCTAAGGGCAATGTGTGGTGTAAATATTATGCAAAAATTTCGGAGTGTGGAAATTAGGAGAAGGTGTGGAGTTAATAAAAGCATTAGTCAGAGGGCAGAAGAGGGGTTGTTGAGGTGGTTTGGTCATTTAGAGAGAATGGATCAAAGTAGAATGACATGGAAAGCATATAAATCTACAGGGGAAGGAAGGAGGGGTAGGGGTCGTCCTCGAAAGGGTTGGAAAGAGAGGGTAAAGGAGGTTTTGTGGGCGAGGGGCTTGGACTTCCAGCAAGCGTGCATGAGCGTGTTAGATAGGAGTGAATGGAGACGAATGGTACTTGGGACCTGACGATCTGTTGGAGTGTGAGCAGGGTAATATTTAGTGAAGGGATTCAGGGAAACCGGTTATTTTCATATAATCGAACTTGAGTCCTGGAAATGGGAAGCACAATGCCTGCACTTTAAAGGAGGGGTTTGGGATATTGGCAGTTTGGAGGGATATGTTGTGTATCTTTATACGTATATGCTTCTAAACTGTTGTATTCTGAGCACCTCTGCAAAAGCAGTGATAATGTGTGAGTGTGGTGAAAGTGTTGAATGATGATGAAAGTATTTTCTTTTTGGGGATTTTCTTTCTTTTTTGGGTCACCCTGCCTCGGTGGGAGACGGCCGACTTGTTAAAAAAAAAATCAAAATTATATATATATATATATATATATATATATATATATATATATATATATATATATATATATATATATATATATATTTAACAAGTTGGCCGTCTCCCACCGAGGCAGGGTGACCCAAAAAAGAAAGAAAATCCCCAAAAAGAAAATGCTTTCATCATCATTCAACACTTTCACCACACTCACACATAATCACTGTTTTTGCAGAGGTGCTCAGAATACAACAGTTTAGAAGCATATACGTATAAAGATACACAACATATATATATATATATATTATATATATATATATATATATTATATATATATATATATATATATATATATATATATACAAACACTGATCTCTGGCTGAAGGAGACTCGAACCTACGAACCTTAGGACAAGGTACGCAGTGCTTTACCAATCTACCCACACTGGACCAATACCTTGGCGTGTAGCATGCGCTACACGTTTGATCAAACGTGTAGCGCATGCTACACGCCAAGGTATTGGTCCAGTGTGGGTAGATTGGTAAAGCACTGCGTACCTTGTCCTAAGGTTCGTAGGTTCGAGTCTCCTTCAGCCAGAGATCAGTGTTTGTGTATATTTCGCATGCTCTCGTGAATTCCTTGCATTATATATAATATATATATATATATATATATATATATATATATATATATATATATATATATATATATATACAGTGTATATATATATATATATATATATATATTATATATATATATATATATATATATATATATATATATATATATATATACAGTGTATATATATATATATATATAGTGTATATATATTATATATATATATATATATATATATATATATATATATATATATATATGTGTGTGTGTGTGTGTGTGTGTGTGTGTGTGTGTGTGTTTGTGAAGGTCGAAATTCAGACATGAACATGCCATGCAGACCTGAACAAAAAAAGAAAGTAACATGTAGACGACATAAATAATACAGACATAGACAGGGAGACAAGCAAATATGAGAAGACATACCTACGTAGGACTGTAAGAAAAGCGTAGTACAGCCGTGTGCTCCCTACTGCCCACACTAGGCAGGAAACAAGCAAATTTACAAAGAAATACAGTATACAGGCATACAGACAAAATGTGAAGGACAGAAAGTCACAAACAACGAGAGAGGTAATGGAGCAACATAGGCAGGGAAGGATACACACAACAGAAGGTGATGACAACAACAGAGGGCGGAAAGGGTACTCACAACAGAAGGGTAATAACAACAACAAAGAGAAGAGTACACACAACAGGAGTGTGATGGAGCAACAGAAGGAGGGAAGGATACACACAACAGGAGGGTAATAACAGCAACAGACAGAGGGAGAGAAGGGTACACAACGGGTGAGTGATGGCAGGAACAGAGGGAAGGAAGGGTGCACAACGGGTGAGTGACGGCAGCAATAGACAATAAAGATGGCAGGCTTCAAGATACTGATTTACTCACTTCATGGAGGAGGCTTCAGTGTTATCCACACTGATGATGGTGATGGAGGTGTCAGCAGTTTGGTCGCTGCCCTGCGTCAGCAGGTTCACCATGTCATTAACCTCGAACTGGTCTGCGGCAGCAAGTAAGGATCGAGGCTTTGAAATTTACGGAGAACGGGAAACCAAAAGGTCATTTAATGTAATACTACTATGAAATAAATGCTGCTACACACACACACACACACACACACACACACACACACACACACACACACACACACACACACACACACACTCACACACTAGGAAAGTCAGTAAACGAAATGATGGACTATGTAACAACAAAATGCAAGGATTGTAGATGAATGGTTCAGAGAACCGACACGTTGATAAATTAGACACATGTGCAACTCTTGGGTATCTTTATTAAGGAAACGTTTCGCCACACAGTGGCTTCATCAGTCCATACACAGGAGAAGCTTGAAGAATAGGAGGAGAATGAGGTAATCAGTCCCTCAACCTTGAGTCGATGTGGTCAGTCCATCAATCTTCAGTAGAATACGGCATATGAGCGGAGAAGGAGCTTATAAACCGTAGGTAGGAGAGGTGCAGCAGTCATAGGTGGTGTCACATTTGCCTAACCCTTGGGCACGACCTACTTCCACATTGGGCAAATGTGACACCACCTATGACTGCTGCACCTCTCCTACCTACGGTTTATAAGCTCCTTCTCCGCACATATGCCGTATTCTACTCAAGATTGATGGACTGACCACATCGACTCAAGGTTGAGGGAACATCAAGGTTGAGGGACTGATTACCTCATTCTCCTCCTATTCTTCAAGCTTCTCCTGTGTATGGACTGATGAAGCCACTGTGTGGCGAAACGTTTCCTTAATAAAGATACCCAAGAGTTGCACATGTGTCTAATTTATCAAAGTGTCGGTTCTCTGAACCATTCATCTACAATCCTGTCAGACACTGCAACTTCTTGGGATCTTAATACTTGGGAATTCTTCGCTTGCCTAACCCTTGGGCACGACCTACTTCCACATTGGGCAAATGTGACACCACCTATGACTGCTGCAACTCTCCTACCTACGGTTTATAAGCTCCTTCTCCGCTCATATGCCGTATTCTACTCAAGATTGATGGACTGACCACATCGACTCAAGGTTGAGGGACTGATTACCTCATTCTCCTCCTATTCTTCAAGCTTCTCCTGTGTATGGACTGATGAAGCCACTGTGTGGCGAAACGTTTCCTTCATAAAGATACCCAAGAGTTGCACATGTGTCTAATTTATCAAAATGCAAGGAGGCAGAGGAAAGGTTTGTTCCCAAGGGCACCAGAAATAATGGGAAAACCAGAACGAGCCCTTGGTTTACCCGAAGATGTAGGGAGGCAAAAACTAAGTGCACTAGAGAATGGAAAAGTACAGCAGGCAAAGAACCCAGGAAAATTAAGAGATCAGTCGAAGAGCCAGAAACGAGTGTGCACAGATAAGGAGGGAGGCCCAGCGACAGTACGAAAACAACAAAGCATCGGAAGGCAAGTTTGACCCGAAACAGCTGTATAGCCACATCAGGAGTAAGACAGCAGTGAAGGACCAGGTAATCAGGCTGAGGAAAGAAGATGGGGAGCTCACAAGAAACGACCAAGAAGTATGTGAGGAGCTCAACACCAGATTTAAGGAAGTACTTATAGTGGAGACAGAAAGGACTCTGGGAAGACAGAACAGAGGGGTACATCAACAAGGGATATACCAACAAATGTTGGATGAAATACACACAACCGAGGAGGAGGTGAAGAAGCTGCAAAGTTACCTTGATACCTCAAAGGCGGTGGTACCAGGCAACACCTCTCCGTGGGTCCTTAGAGAGGGAGCAGAGACGCTGTGTGCCACTAACCACAATTTTCAACACATCCTTTGAAACTGGGCAACTACCTGAGATATGGAAGACGGCAAATATAGTCCCCGTTTTTAAGAAAGGAGACAGAAACGATGCACTAAACTATAGACCAGTGTCACTGACGTGTATAGTATGCAAAGTCATGGAGAAGATTATCAGGAGAGTGGTGGAGAACCTGGAACGGAACAAGATTATAAACGACAACCAGCAACGATTCCTGGAAGGCAAATCCTGTGTCACAAACAGAAGTAAGACACGAGAGAGAAGTGTGGGTTGATTGCATTTTCTTGGACTGCAAGAAGGCCTTCGACACAGTTCCTCACAAAAGATTAGTGCAGAAGCTAGAGAACCAGGCGCGTATAACAGGAAGGGCACTGTAATGGATCAGAGAATATCTGACAGGGAGGCAACAACGAGTCATGGTACGTGATGAGGTATCACAGTGGGCGCCTAAGACGAGCGGGGTCCCACAGGGGTCAGTCCTAGGACCAGTACTATTTTTGGTATCTGTGAATGACATGATGGATAGACTCAGAAGTGTCCCTGTTCACAGATGATGTGAAGTTAATGAAAAGAATTAAATCAGATGAGGATCAGGCAGGACTACTAAGAGACCTGGACAGGCTGGATGCGTGGTCCAGCAACTGGCTCCTCGAATTTAACCCCTCCAAATGCAAGTCATGAAGATCGGGGAAGGGCAAAGAATACCGGAGACAGAGTATAGGCTAGGTGGCCAAAGACTGCAAACCTCGCTCAATGAGAAAGATCTAGGGGTGAGTATAATACTGAGCACGTCTCCGGAAGCACACATCAACCAGATAACTGCTGGAGCATATGGGCGCCTGCCAAACCTGAGAATAGCGTTCCGATACCTCAGTAAGGAATCGTTCAAGATTCTGTACACCGTGTACGACAGGCTCATACTGGAGTATGCAGAACCAGTTTGGAACCCACACCTGGTCAAGCACGTCAAGAAATTAGAGAAAGCGCAAAGGTTTGCAACAAGGCTAGTTCCAGAACTAAGGGGAATGTCCTACGAAGCAAGGTTAAGGGAAATCGGCCTGACGACACTGGAGGACAGGAGGGTTAGGGGAGACATGATAACGACATACAAAATACTGCGAGGAATAGATAAGGTGGACAGATACAGGATGTTCCATACAGGGTACACAGACACAAGGAGTCACAACTGGAAGTTGAAGACTCAGATGAGTCAACGGGATGTTAGGAAGTATTTCTTCAGTCATAGAGTTGTCAGGAAGTGGAACAGTTTGGCAAATGATGTAGTGGAGGCAGGAACCATACATAGTTTTAAGACGAGGTACGATAAAGCTCGTGGAGCAGGGAGAGAGGACCTAGTAGCGACCAGTGAAGAGGCGGGGCCAGGAGCTCAGTTTCTACCCCTGCAACTACAATTAGGTGAGTATACACACACACACATAATATATATATATATAATATAAAATATATATATATATATATATATATATATATATATATATATATATATATATAATATTATACAAAGAGGTTAAACAAACGTTCACACAAATTAATAATACATCACCTTCCCTTTCTGTGAACCCCTCCTTCCCCGTGTGTGTGTGTGTGTGTACTCACCTATTTGTGGTTGCAGGGGTTGAGTCCTAGCTCCTGGCCCCGCCTCTTCACCGGTTGCTACTAGGCCCTCTCTCTCCCCGCTCCATGAGCTTTATCAAACCTCGTCTTAAAACTGTGTATGGTTCCTGCCTCCACTACGTCATTTTCTAGGCAATTCCACTGCCTTACAACTCTATGACTGAAGAAATACTTCCTACTATCTCTCTGACTCATTTGTGTCTTCAACTTCCAATTGTGGCCTCTTGTTTCTGTGTCCCCTCCCTGGAACATCCTGTCCTTGTCCACCTTGTCTATTCCACGCAGTATTTTATATGTCGTTATCATGTCTCCCCTGACCCTCCTGTCCTCCAGTGTGTGTGTGTGTGTGTGTGTGGTTATCTTGTACGTTGTGATCATGTCCCCCTCCCCCAGGATTCTCCTCTTCTCTACTGTTGATTTTCTACATGGAGAAGGGAAGACTGCAGCAATACCTCTTGAAGACTGACTCACCTATAGTGTTGTCGTGGATGAAGATGATATCAGTCCAGATCAGAGTATTCTTGTCCCTGAGGTCCCTGAAGACCTGCACCACGTCCTTGGACCCGCTGGTCAGAGGCACGGTGATGGCCGAAGAAAAGGCGATCCTCGAGCACCCAGACCCTGTGTACAGCCACCAGAGAAAGATAGGTAAGAAAGAGAGAGCGAGAGAATTAATATTATAATTATTAATTATATTATTATTATTAGTAGTAGTAGTAGTAGTATTATAGTCCTCGTGAAGCGCTTCCTCAAGCAGGAAGAGTATAGGACTCTCTCTCTCTCTCTCTTTCTCTCTCTTACTCCGTGTTTATATCCCACGAAGCTCACAACTCATACTTCTAAATTCATGTTGACCAAACAAAGTGCATTCTATGATTTAATTTACGTTTTTATGACGTTAGCAAAGAGCAACATCGGCAGTAACAGCAAGGTTAAGAACCCCAGACAAATCTAATAACCAGTGTTTGGTTTCTATCGTAATTGGCAGACTTGTTTACCCTACTTGTGATACCACTAAGGTTGTTTGGTTAGCAGGGTTTGAAGCCTATCGACTACACGAGAGTCATTAAGACTGCACGTAACCTGTTCGCCGCTAGCCAAGAATACTTCAATCCTTTAAGTAGGGATTATTATTACTATTATTAATAATAATCAAAACTAAGTTCTAAACCCACTAGGGTCATACAGAGCTGTTTAAGCAGGGATTAAACTCTCGGAATATAATACAGATTGACTGCAATAATAATAAAGGGTTAAATCCAGTACAGTTGGTAGCGCACTCAGCTCATACAATGAGTGTCCGAGGTTCGATCTCCGTACAGGGGGAACCATTAGGGTGTGTTTCCTTAAGACATCTGCTGTTCCTGTGTACCTAGAGGTAAGCAGGAACCTGGGTGTTAGTCGACTGGTGTGGGTCTCATCCTGGGGACAAAATTAACCTAAGTTGTCCCGAAATGCTCTGCATAACAAGAGACTGTCTATATAGTATGTCAATGATGTCAGCTATGGCCTGTATACGTTGTATCATGTACTTGTACAAATAAAGATTATTATTATTATTATTATTATTATTATTATTATTATTATTATTATACAGCGGCAGACTGACATACACTTCTCGGTGCACTTGTAGAAATAAATATTATTATTATTACTATTATTATTATTATTATTATATTAAACAGCGGCACATTGACATACACTTCTTGGTGTACTTGTAAAAATGAAGATCGTCATTATTATTATCCAGAGGCAGATTGACATAAACTTCTGGGTGTAAACCACTACTGCTGTTGTTTTATTCACGAAACAGGTCCAGTGCTTCCTGAGACAGGTATTATTCATAACATGGCCAAGTATATTGTTCATGTAAACCAATGGTTAGGTTGATTATTGAGGTTTAAATCTTATCGATTACACAATGGTCATTAATGCATGCATGACCCTTTCACCACCAGACAACAGGGATTATAGTAAACTCTCAGCATATATAAGCTGAGAAATGCACCCATCAGGGTATATATTGTGTGTAAACCACTGAATAACGTACTGTACTCTCCATTTATGTGAAAAAACCACCACCACCAGCAGCAGCAGCAGCAGCAGCAGCAGCAGCAGCAGCAGCAGCAGCAGCAGCAGCAGCAGCAGCAGCAGCAGCAGCAGCAGCAGCAGCAGCAGCAGCAGCAGCAGCAGCAGCAGCAGCAGCAGCAGCAGCAGCAGCAGCAGCAGCAGCAGCAGCAGCAGCAGCAGCAGCAGCAGCAGCAGCAGCAGCAGCAGCAGCAGCAGCAGCAGCAGCAGCAGCAGCAGCAGCAGCAGCCAGCAGCAGCAGCAGCAGCAGCAGCAGCAGCAGCAGCAGCAGCAGCAGCAGCAGCAGCAGCAGCAGCAGCAGCAGCAGCAGCAGCAGCAGCAGCAGCAGCAGCAGCAGCAGCAGCAGCAGCAGCAGCAGCAGCAGCAGCAGCAGCAGCAGCAGCAGCAGCAGCAGCAGCAGCAGCAGCAGCAGCAGCAGTTGTTGTAGTCGCAGTAGTAATGGTTTTAGTAGTGGTGGTGGTGGTAGCGGCAGCAGAAGCAGCAGTAGTAATAGTAGTAGTAGTTGTAGCAGTAGTAGTAGTAGTAGTAGTAGTAGTAGTAGTAGTATTGCTGTCTTGTTGATATACCACAACACAGTTATAACTGAGTCATTATAATCATTAAGTATAATAGGGAAGCGAGCCGACACAAGCCACAGACTTTCTGTCTACACCAACGTCACTGTCCATGTCTGACAATAAGTCGATAAACATTTAATATAATACTAAACAAATAAACAAATTATTACCTTGCATGAAGGAGAGGTTGCCTTTGTGTGACGTTTTAAAGCAGTGTGTTTGTTTCCAGATAGTTTTATAATGCATTTTTATGTTATGAACGAGTATGCGTTGTTGTAGATGATGGTAACTTTTTTCTTAAATAAGTACATTTAGTTTTGCAATGTGTGAGCGTTCATGTATACATATAAGTATACACATATATACACACTTCTCTACGTATTTAACGTGACGTGTTACGGACACAAGCAGTCAGGTAGGCCTCACCTCATAAACAATGAACGTGTTGTTTCCAACTATTTAAGAGTGCAATGTATGTCTACCAAAAATATATAAACTGAGTTGTATATACACTGTGTATATATACACAGTTTAATTCCAGTTTAATTCTTGTATCAGGTATTAAATTATTCTTGACTGGGGATGTACTGGTGAAATGCAACCTTAATGACTCGTGTAACCGATAGGTTTTAAACCAAATAAATCAACCTATATTCACATGGAACGCTTAATCTGGAAAATGGACGGGGAATCTGGTTTGATCCGAGGAAAAGGAGGGCAATAAACCAGCCAAGAAACCAACATACCAGTAATTGCTATGTGGAGCTTGCCCATCTTCGCGAGGCTGGGTGCCCAGGCGCGTGTATTGCTGCAGGATGCCAGGGTGAGCACCGCTGTCATCTCGTCAGGCAGAGTGATGTTCTCGTTCATGGATGACAGGAACTGTACAGTCAGGGAGCCGCGTGTCATAGCTGCAGAGCCCTCCTTCACCGCCTCCTGGATCAGTTCCTCCGTCTGCGTCTTAAGGCCCTGTAGCATGCTAGGCTCCAGATAAACTCCTGCAGGAGTGAGAGAGAAAGAGATGAGGAAAGGTCTTGCCTGGCCTAAAGAGATTAGTAATCAGCTTCGCAATTTGAAATCTTACTTCATCCTGTGAGAACATGGAGTTTCTTTTTCCTCCTTCCTCTTCCTCTCTCTTTCCTCCCTCCCTTTCCACCTTCCTCCCTCTCTCCCTTTCCTACTTCACTCTGTCTCTTCCGATCCTTCCATCCCTCTCCCTCCCACCTCTTCTCTCTCTCTCATATATATATATATATATATATATATATATATATATATATATAATATATATATATATATATATATATTATATATGCACATGTGTCTTAATTTCATCTTGTCGGTATTATATACCATTCTTGTACACACACACACACACAAATATATATATATATATATATATATATATATATATATATATATATATATATATATATATATATATATATATATATATATATATATATATATAAATATATATATATATAAACACATCGGCCGTTTCCCACCATGGCAGGGTGGCCCGAAAAAGAAAAACTTTCATCATTCACTCCATCACTGTCTTGCCAGAGGCATGCTTAAACTGCAGCTATAAAACTACAACATTAACACTCCTCCTTCAGAGTGCCGGACTCAAGTCCGGCCTGCCGGTTTCCCTGAATCCCTTCATAAATGTTACCTTGCTTACACTCCAACAGCACGTCAAGTCCTACAAACCATTTGTCTCCATTTGCTCCTATCCAACACGCTCACGCACGTTTGCTGGAAGTCCAAGCCCCTCACACACATCCTCCTTTACCCCCTCCCTCCAACCTTTCCTAGGCAGACCCCTACCCCGCCTTCCCTCGAAGTCATTCTATTTTGTTCCACCCTCTCTACATGTCCAAACCATCTAAATAACCCCTCCTCAGCCCTCTGGATAATAGTTTTGGTAATCCCACACCTCCTCCTAATCTCCAAACTACGGATTCTCTGCACTACATTCACACCACACATTGCCCTCAGAAGCAACATCTCCACTGCCTCCAGCCTTCTCGTGCCAACATTCACAACCCATGCCTGACACTCATACAAAAGCGTGGGTACAACTATACTCTCATACATTCCCCTCTTTGCTCTCATGGACGAAGTTCTTTGTCTCCACAAACTCCTTAGTGCACCATTCACATTATCAAATCCCTTGAAAATGTGAGAAGTCACGAAAACGCTTGGAATTTCGCTATTCTTTCACAGTGGTTATTTTGCATATTCTGATATCACCTGTTTACTGTGATCTTATTGCATATATATATATATATATAAATATATATATATATATATATATATATATATATATATATATATATATATATATATATATATATAATATAATATATATAATTTTTTGTTGCCCCAGTCTGATGATACAGATATCCTCATAAAAAGTAATTTTCCTGTGTATGGGATAGATTATCACGAGAAATGGTAATTCCCAATTTCGGCTCTACTGTACAAAATCTTCGAAGCTCCCGTAGCTAACGAGGCTCTAATAGAATACCTGACGATATCATTTACCTATTGAAATCTCCCAGCTCAGGCTGACAGATTTTAACACTACGTATGAAATCCATCCTGTGTGATATAACTAATAATAACATTAATAATAATAATAATAATAATAATAATAATAATAATAATAATAATAATAATAATAATAATAATAATAATAATAATAATAATAATAATAATAATAATAATAAGAATAATAATAATAATAAAAACAATGACAATAATAATATGTAACTAATATATAGGAAAATGAAGAATCGCATTATTGATGTATCAAATTTTGCTAAATAAAAAAAACTCCCTCTAAACATATCAATAACAAGAAACCGAAACCGAACACCAGGAAAATATTTTTTACACACAAAAAAATACCAGCTGAACACATACAAATAAATAACTAAAGTATAGCAGGTGTCATACCAACAAGCAACGAATAAGTTGACTTCAATATGCCGTCACAGTGAAGCTTTCCCTTGTCACGTGAAAATGATTCCAGTCTTAAGAATCCATTGTGGTAGTCGATCCTCCGGCCAAGAGGAATAAATTATGACCAAGATGCCAATATTATAGATGGATATATCTCCAGGCAATTATTATTGTTATTATTATTATTATTATTATTATATTCATTAAAAGCGAGGATCATTGAGCATGCAGCAAAGACACAGACATGCTCGAGACATTTAGCTCTGTATAGAGCTTTATCAAGTCACTACGATAAAGAATTATACAGAGTGAAACTGTCCAAATAAAAGCTTGTTCTGCACCTCGTTGGTTTCAGAATGGTGGACAATGCTTCACTAGGATAGAGAGGTGCGTGTGACGACCGCCTCGACTCCAGTACTAGCTGACACGTCTCCTTCACTCACACAAAAAGCGTTGTATGCTTGAAAAATTAAGTGTTTGCTTTTCGTGTGTGGCTTCCACGGTATAACGCTGAGGTAACATTGGCTCTGGGTGTTAGCATGAATATTTATACAGGTGTCATATATATATGAAAGCTATCGACGCGCCAGTTAGGCTAACCATGACAATTCCAAGGAATTGTAGATCAACCCTAATTATCTCCTGTTTCCCAGCCGTTGTATGATCCCTACGGGTTTAATGCTTTCCCGTGAATATAAATATGATGACATGAGACTCATCCTCCTAAGCAACAGTAGTTATTCCGACTATATTTATGAACAGTCAGATTTGTCACAGAATTTTTAGCCATTTTATCTTTGCAACAAGTTTTATATTAAACTTCAGAAGGGGTCTTTGTGCTTTTTATAAGCTCAGCGATAGGTTAGTATGTAAATGTTCTAATATTAAGTAAGCTGTGAAATGGAGACAGTCATGTTTAAGCCAATGTGGGAAAAGCCTTTCAATTAACCAAAAAAGGTAACCCAAACCCAACACAATCTAACCTAGAGAGTTAAATATAAGTTAGATTAGGTTAGATTTTTATCTCATAGGTTCAGAATATGACTATTTCCATTGCACAACTCACTTCACGTTAGAGAATTTACACAATAAAAGATACAAGGAACTCACGCGCATACTGACCTAAACTTGGGTAAGGTTAACTGTATTTTTTTTTTATATTTTATTTAAAACATTACAATACAAGGTGGAAATTATATTAAGGTACACAAATGAGGTAAATCACAAATTCCCAATTCACCCTTACAAAAATGAGTACAACAGACAAAAGTGTTCTGACAACCTAATATCACACACCATATACACCCAGTTATACCAGAGTTATATACCTGTGAAGGCTGAAACTTTTGACACAATTTCCCCCCCCCCTCCCGCCAAATATAACCTGTAATTAAGTTACAAGTCGTCGAAAGACTAGGACCCGTGTCAGGACTCTGTCTCGGAGAACATTATAACAGCAGCTGTTGTTACGTTTCACTGTTGCCTAGCAATCAAAAACAAATTATAACATACCTGAGAGCCAATAAATAAAATTGTAATAAAGGTTAAAAGAGACCGGGATTAGGAAAGAGTCCACCATCTTTTGTGTTTTCTTCTACATTACATTGTAAATTTTGCTCTTGTATGTTATACCCGGTTAATTTTGATGGTTAGATAAAATTTCTAATTAACTAAACCTTACTTAACTATAAATAATTTAAACAGGAACTTTCTTTTAAAGTTTTGCGAGAAAACCTATATTTTATAAACAGGCGGAATTTCAACTGTTTCTTAAATTGATAAGATGCTGACTGTTACTTCTATCACCGCCGCCACTGCATCTACCACTATTATTATGCCCTGGGTAACTCGTTAACTTGTCGTGCTAAGGTAGTTTGTTAAATCTCGGGATTCCCTTAACTACAGCCAGCCTCTACAGAGTGTGTAGTGTAACAGTCGGTCCCTATACAGTGTTTAGTGCACCACTCTCCCTGTACATCGTTTAGTGTACCAGTAAGTCCCTGTACAGTTAGGTTAGGTTAGGTAAGGTTAGTCAGGAAACAGGACAAATGTTTCCTGACGCGGGTCTTAGTCAGATGATGACCCGCCTTTGGAGCTTTTGGTCATCTGACCGAGGCCTTCCGCTGGCTTACCGGTCCACCCCTTTAAAAATTATGGTTATTTATAACCATTGTCTGTCTATATACCTTCCCTGTACAGTGTTCAGTATCACAATAAGTCCCTGTACAGTGGTTAGTGTACCAGTCAGTCCCTGCACAGTGTTCAGTATCACAATAAGTCCCTGTACAGTAGTTAGTGTACCAGTCAGTCCCTGTACAGTGGTTAGTGTACCAGTCAGTCCCTGTACAGTGGTTAGTGTACCAGTCAGTCCCTGTACAGTGGTTAGTATACCAGTCAGTCCCTGTACAGTGGTTAGTGTACCATAGACAGTCCCTGTGTAGTGTGTTGTTGAATTTTATATTTGCAGTTTTTTTCCCAGCCGGTTCTTAAAACACTAAAATTCTGTTTGCACTTAACAGCTTGTTCAGTAGGCAATTTATTCTACTTATCTTTAAACTTTTTTGTAAACACTCTTTTAACCGCATTTGTGTTTCATCTCTTGCCTCGAGGACACAGACCTGAAATTATGGTTTTTTGTTGAGAATGACTGTTCTTCCTCTGCGCCATCTTTCTCCCTTTTTTCCTTTAATTTACTCTACCTTGTTTAGCAAAATATGATGCATCAGCAGTGTGCTGATGTATCTACTGTATATAACAGTTACAGAGCGAGTATAAAAGCTAATAATGTTTTCCTGTCATATTCCATCACACAAGATGTGTTGTTTACACTTAAGGGGTTTCATTGTCTTTCAAGAAACGCCAAAAGGACTGACCTAAAGTAGAATTCTCATGGTCGAGTTGTGCTTGTGTAGAGACAGCAAGAACCAGGAGAGAGAGACACCACGAGCACACCCCTGGCCAGGCTCCACCTCCCGGTTTGTGCCCGTTCATCTCTCTCCCAGCCCCAGCCTCCACCACCTCCTGCACTAAGGTCCCTCCCGTCTGAGCAGCAGGAGGAGGACGCGCCTGCAGGTCTCCACGCTGCTGGTGTGGCTGGAGAAGTTACCTCGATAAGCCCTCACCAACCCACTGCCTGAAAGGCAAAAAAATGTCCATGAATTTTCGTATATACATACGTATATACATACATACATATACATACATATACATAAATACACACATACATACATACACACACACACACACACACACACACACACACACACACACACACACACACACACACACACACACACACACACACACACAACACACACACACACAACACAAACAAACACACACGTACGTACTTTCACGAGTTTCTAAACTCCATAATATTGATTAAGAATAAAATCCTGAGACAATTTACAAGCTGTGTGATGTTATTATATGGCCGAGACAGGACATACGCCTGCCTGCCTCCCTCCTTCCCTCTTCCTCTCCTCTGCAGGTTGATGATACTTCGTAAAACTTTATCGATACTTGCAATAGTTTGAAGAGATTCGGGCTGTCACTTTTGCGATATCTAAAGCTTTTACGATACTTGGCGAAATCTCTATTAATTTTCCGATATTGGCTTCTGAGCTTGCCACTTGACCTCTACTTCACCTTGACATTTGATTTCCGCAGTATTTGGTAGTATTTTTATCCATCTTGTACATTTGCAGATACAAGATATATACACCGAGAGATGTATTTCTCTAAACGTATATATGCCGAGTTTATTTTAATCACTGTTATAGGGTATTCCTGTCTGCTTGTGAAAAAATTACGTGCAGCCTTATTGACCCTAGTGTAGTTCATAGGCTTTAAACCCCATTAACCATTTACAGATTGACACAAGATATAAACAGAAATAAGACAGACATAGACAGATGTATACTGACAAACAAATTGGTACATACAAACTGACAGATTCATACGAACAGAGACTGGGGCGCTATACATAAATATACCAAATAACATGCAATACTAGGCTTAATTAGTTATACTATACAGTCCATGACCGTCGTGGTGACGGTAGCAATTGTGAGAAAGTTTATTTATTCATAGAATGGTGAAAAGAGATATTTTACAAAGTAAAATTTTTTTTGTTTACCTAGAAAGGAAGAGATTCCGGTCCCACTGAAACCACTACCTAGTGTCACTAAACCTACCACTACGTAGAGAGGAAGGGATCCTGGTGTCATTGAAACTACCACTACGTAGAGAGGAAGAGATCCTGGTGTCACTGAAACTTCCACTACGTAAAGAGGAAGGGATCCTGGTGTCACTGAAACTACCACTACGTAGAGAGGAAGAGATCCTGGTGTCACTGAAACTTTCACTACGTAGAGAGGAAGAGATCCTGGTGTCACTGAAACTTTCACTACGTAGAGAGGAAGAGATCCTGGTGTCACTGAAACTACCACTACGTAGAGAGGAAGACATCCTGGTGTCATTGAAACTTCCACTATGTAGAGGAAGAGATCCTGGTGTCACTGAAACTACCACTACGTAGAGAGGAAGAGATCCTGGTGTCACTGAAACTTCCACTACGTAGAGAGGAAGAGATCCTGGTGTCATTGAAACTACCACTACGTAGAGAGGAAGAGATCCTGGTGTCACTGAAACTACCACTACGTAGAGAGGAAGAGATCCTGGTGTCACTGAAACATCCACTACGTAGAGAGGAAGGGATCCTGGTGTCACTGAAACTACCACTACGTAGATTATTATTATTATAATCAAAAAGAAGCGCTAAGCCACAAGGGCTATACAGCGCTGCACCACTACGTAGAGAGGAAGGGATCCTGATGTCACTGAAACTACCACTACGTAGAGAGGAAGGGATCTTGGTGTCACCGAAACTTCCGCTACCTAGAGAGGAAGGGATCCTGGTTTCACTGAAACTTCTATCTCTTGCAGGACACTATGGGCGGGAGCTCAGTTTATCCATTTTACTTCATCTTCGTAAAGATGGTGGGCTCATGATCCAAAGAACTTGAGCTAGAAATCCCTTCCTTGGATCAAGCCTGACTGCCTTCCAATACCAAGGCGCTGTATGACTACATACAGGTTTAGCGGTTCCATGATAATAATAAAATAAATAAAATGATATACGTACAGAGAAATTCCTTGTGTTTTTATTATGTAAATTATCCAACGTTAAGTGGGATGTGCACTGAAAACAGTTACATGTTGGGCCTACGGGAGAGAGCTTTATTTGGTAACCAATGTCATCCAACCTAACTTAGGATTTAACTAGTATTCTAGGTGTGATTAAATTAAGTGAAGTTACCCTGCTTTTGGTAACCAAAAAAAATGCGTTTTTCCCATTATCCCAAAATATAATTGTATCTACTGCATAACCCACTTAATATTTGAAAATTTGCATAATAATCTATAGCTAAGTTCAAAATAGAAGAATTCCAATTGTATATCAGCCCCCCAAAAATATAATATATTTTAGAAGTCACTGAGAATGTTTGCCTACCTTTGGTTGACTTAAGTCGATTTGCCAAGTCTTAAGATTTTGCCATAATACCCATTGAGTCACAGAGAACACAGGCCTACCTTTACTAGGCTTGAGTATCATGTTAGAGAGTAGGTTGTGGCCCGGCGGGCGACATGACCAGCCCAGCACCTCGTTGTTGACACACTAGTGAAGCTACCACAGCAAGACGGCTGTCAAGCCGCGTCATCTACCAGGCGGCGCTACATGCTAGCCACACACATACAGCTGGCTAGTCAATCATACAGCCAACCAATTATAAGTCAACAGCCAGCCACAAGCTAGCAGCTGACCAGCCAGTCCGTCACCACCACGACTGCCATACACAAAGTTAGCCATCAAGGCAGCCAGTCAGTTCAAGAACAAATCACCAGAAAGAAACAAGTCATCGATCCTCCGTTCCCAGCGCATTTTTCTGTACCCTCAGACATGGGCTTCTGATCCCACGAGAGACATTCTTGCTTCAGCAATCAAGCTAAGAAATAGCCTTATCTTTACATCGTTGAATTTTAAAGCTATTAAGCTATCTCATCAAGCATCAGTTAAGCCCTAAGTGCACAATTATTGGACTTGCCCTCTCCTTCCTTGGATCGAACATGAATACCTACCAGGCACTATATGACCCTATGGGTTTAGTGCTTTCCCATAAACATAATAATAAGTACACTGTCACACTACAGGATTCCACCCAAAACAGTAGCTAACGCCTAGTACCTATTTACTGCTGTGTAAATATGAGTAGCATGTAAGGAACGATTCCAAACGTCTCCACCCGTCCCAAGGTCGAACCGAAGTTCTCCGGTTGTGAGCCGAAGGCGCTATCTCGAACCTACTTGCTCACCAAACAAAAAATTGTACACATTACAAAAAAAGGTAGACGGCAAAGGCTGTCATCTTTGCCTCACAGGAGGATACGAATAAATTTGACACCAAACATTTATCGTATTTTCCGGCATATAAGGCGCGCTTTTTTCACACAAAAAAACTTGGAAAATCACCCTGCGCCTTATATACTCAAGATCAGGGTCAAGGGTAGGCTTTGGGTTACGCTTTAATAGTTGTTTACTAACGTTACGTTACAACCGCTTTGAAACAGTCTTATATGCTCATGCGCCTTATATGCCGGAAAATACTCTTAATTAATCCCATCAACTGACACAACACACCATAACTCTAAGGAAGAATATTATTATTATAATTTATTATTAGTGATTGATTTGCTAGGTTTAAAGCCTATCGACTACACGAGGGTCATAAAAAGAAGGAAGATCTCAAAAGCAGCAGGGATTTCTTTCAAAATTTATGAGATTCGCTTAATACATATTACCCAGCCCAGAAATCGAACCCGGAACATTTCGGTTATGAGCGGGTCGACTCTAAGGGGCGGTGGGAACCAGGATCTGAGAGATGATCCCACCCCCGAAAACTCAATGGATATAACCCTGGTGTAAACCTGACATTATCCCTAGAATATTTGCAGTTGTTCACAGTAATTATCTTTGTGTGGCTCCGTGTAGCATAACAGGTAATATGTAAGGTATCATAATAGTAAAGGGTATAAAGATAGCTTTGTACTCACGTAGTAAATAAAATAAAGATGGCTTCGTATCTCCATTGCAAGCAAAGGATGAATAGATTCGTATCACCAAAGTAAACAAAAGAATTACATTGTATCCCAGTAGTAAACAAAAGGAGGATAACTTTACATATCTATATGCCCGTAGTAAACAAAATGAGACCTTTGTATCCCCGTAATAAGAGGATAGCTTTGTGTATCTCCGCAACAAACAAAAGAAGGATAACTTCGTATATCCCCCTAGCAAATAAAACAAGGATAGCTTCGTATATCCCCGTAGTAAACAAGAGGGATAACTTTGTATATCATCGTAGAAAACAAAAGATAAGGATTATGTTTGCCAGGGAGTCCTTATGGTAATGTATGTATTACAAGACTACAGTAATAATCCCAGTACTTGGGCAGTGGAATATCTTCCGCATTACTAATTATCCTCGTCGTAACCCAAGGTTGAAGAGCACTTAACATGAACCGGTTAATTACCTTTCATTAGTACAAGCTGCTACACGACCTCTCTTCCAACATGAATTTTAATAAGTTTGTCCTTGAAGTTGTGCTGCTTCTTGAAACTTCCAAGGATATAAATGATTTACCAACAAGCTGTATATAATAGTTTACGAATCACGTACAATTTACAGAGGAAACTTTAGACGACTTTTCAGTCCGTTTTGGACCATTAAGTCAAGTAGTGACTTAATATTCCTCCAGGACAGACTGCAACTTCGTCTTAAATTTCCTTTCCTGATTGTGTAACAGTTGAGAATTGTTCAGGCTGCGGTACTGTGACTTTTATTCTTCTGTATATGCAAAATTAATATTTTGTACTGGGTGAGACACTAACTGACACACACGATAGCAGTAATTCAAGTCCATGATGTCGACAGTATTATCACAAGTGTTTTGTAATTCCTAAACTCATTGTTTTAGATAATACATGTTATGCTATTTCAACAAAGACATGAAATGCGTCCTTATTCATGCCCTCAGATGTATGTTTACATATTACTTGTTGACAACTCTCTTT